GTGTGTGTGTGTGTGTGTGTGTGTGTGTGTGTGTGTCTGTGTTTGCAGCTGCACAAACACGTAGTGTACCTGGTGGACAGTCTGTGGGACTGTGGCGGAGCTCTGCTGAAGGACTGGGCTGCACTCACGTCCATACTGCTGCAGGAGCCGTCCGCACACAGTCCAGGTGAGAAGAAGTGTGTGTGTCAGTGTGTGTGGTTGTGTGTATACTATACTGTACAGGTTAAAGTGATCAGTTTTAATTCAAATTTAATATCTTCAAGTGGACGTGGGGCCTGGACTCTCTTCAATTAGTTAATTGGTTATTATTGCTTATCACCTATATGATGGTGTAGTTTGTCACAGCCTCTGTTGGCTTCATTTTTATTCTACTGTTAGATGGTGGAATTATCCAGACGCTCCACCATATATTGACTGTGTGTGTGTGTGTGTGTGTGTGTGTGTGTGTGTGCGTGTGCGTGTGTGTGTTAGGTCTAACACTGGCAGAACAAGCTCTGCTCATAGAGATCCTGGTGGCGTCGGTGCGTCAGGCCTCAGAGGGACCCGCCCTGGCCGGTAGGAGCGGAGCGAAGAAGGTCAGTGAGGAAAAAATATTTCAAATTTGAAACGAATCTGAATTAAATTTAACTTGTGAAATGTACTTGTGTGTGTTTTTAAATTCCAGGCAATGAGCACCAGAGAAAAGAAGATTCAGATCGATGACTGTACCAAACTCACCGAACATCTCCTCACTGTCCTTCCAAAGTTACTGAGCAAGGTTTTTACTCCTCACACAGTTAAATGATGAGAACATTCTTCTCTCTGTACGTTTCACTATCATCTCAGCTGTGTGATGTCGTTTGTGCAGTTTTCAAGTCGCTCAGACGTCGTTGCCTCCCTGATGAGGATTCCTCAGTTCTTCATCCTGTGTCCCGACGCTGGAAACACACAGGTCTGCTGCATTCTGGACTTTAACACAAACAATACAATGAAAAATGTCTCCGAACGTCTCAGTCTGCAGATTTATGAAACCAACTGTTGCTGTTCTCGAGCTCAGGCGGTTTCCAGCCTGGTGGCAGAGATGGGAGCCGTGTTAGACCTCCACTCTGACCCCGCTGTTGTGGAGGCAGCGGCTCGGACGTACCTGAGTCTGTGTGGAGAGGAGACGACCTGGTGCTCTGTGGCGCGGGACGCTAGAGACTCTCTGGTCCAGACCTGGGTGGACAAACTGACCGTTCTGCTGGAGGACTCACTGCAGGTGATCATTTCACTGAGGCCTCAAATCCTTCAAACATGTTTAACGTGTTCATGATCCCAGATGATGATGTTGGATGAAAACAACTCATTAGTTCCTGTTTGTCTGGTTCAGGGCGACTGCTTCTCTGCTGATGAGGAGAAAACCGGAGACATTTTATCCACACTCAGGAAACTCAGAGCTTTCCACAAGTAAGATCTGAGATTGAGTGTGAGCCTGTGATATCCTGAAACGAATCCTGGTCTGAGAGTGATGAGCATATTAACGTGCTGTATCTGTTTCTCTCCGTGTCGCTGTAGCTGTCACGACCTCTCTCGCTGGAGTCTGTTCCAGCTGCTCTCTCCTCTCCTGTCAGTGGGAGGAGCTCCGCCTGAGGTACCATCACTGAATCACCAGAGGAATTGAACCTGTCTGGATTTATTTATCTGTCCTCACTCAAGTTAATATTAATCGTATATTGTCTTTTGTCGTCCCTGGTGTCTGAAGGTGCTGCTGGACGTCCTGCAGTGTCTGTGTTTCTTCATGATCTGGTCTCTCAACATGAGCAGTGAAACTCTGACGTCCAGAGTGAGTCACATCTCATTTCATAAGCTCTTAGCCGTCGTTAGTTAAATGTAAAGATATCAAATGTTGATGTTATATTTTTATTCCTAAAATGAATATTCAGATCCTGGGAGTGTTGGTGTAACTATTCATATTGGTGCATTTGTCCATAACCAGTTCTTTCAGTTTTTCCAACTCTTCCACGTTTTTTTTTTTGACATTACGACTTTATTTTCCATATAAAGTCTGATTTAGTTTGATATTATTCTCAACATTTCTTTCGAGTTTTTAAGTGATATTAGATTTCTAGTGAGGCCAGGGTTAGGGTTAAACCTTGAACACCAACGTGTGTGTGTGTGTATTTCAGGAGAACGCTGTGGCCCAGAGGCTCCAGCTGCGTCTGTTCTGTGAGCGGAGTCATCACTGTCTCTCTCACTCCGACCACAGCGTCAGACATCAGGTGGGCAGCAGACGTCAAGTGTCGGTTTTGGCTCTTTACTCTTTTATTTTTGACTTTTCCAACCAGTCTCTTTCTGTTTTTAGGCTTTTCTGGGTGTGTGCGATGTCCTGGTGGCTCATTCCTACCAGATTCATGTGTGGGATCCCACCTCCTTCGGTCCGCTGCTCCACACGCCCAGTCCCAAACTGCAGAGGGCGCTGTCGACCTTTGTATGCATGCACGTCTTCCTTGGTCCAGACTGTGACAGTCAGAGCAGAGGTCAGTCTGTTTCCTTCACCTTCACTGTGCAGGAGGGATGTTTCCACATTCATCTCTGTGCTCACAACAAATGAGGATCATTTCCTCTTCAGTAGTTTGGTTCAATCAGTAGCTTTTACAAATGTGATGGGTTTTACTAGTTTTACTTCTGAAATGAAAAATATTTTGACTGAAAAAGAAAAGATGCAGCAGTAACACGTTATTTTACAGATTCTGTATTTTTGAAATGATTTCCCAAGAAAGAAATGTGGTTATAATTATAAAGGAAATTGAGAAAATGTAAGTTCCTGCATTTTGTAAGGACTTTATACTATTGTTTATTTTAGTTTCAAACTTGTAGCAACTTAAATTATTTAATAGATCATTTAAATGAAGTATATAAATTAACATAAATATCCATTATTCCAAATTCTTAATTTTGCTTTGAACTACCATTCATTATAGATACTTTAGATGTAGATCTACTATAGAGAAGAACTAATACATTTTTTTTGGGGGGGGGGGGTCCAGATAACCTGGGTTTTTAAAGGAAATATAACAGTAATTTATTTAAAAATACCAGCAAATTTTTATGAAATTTAGAAAATTATAAGTTAAGTATAAGAAAACTTGGTCCAAAATATAGAACCATAAATTACTTTATTTACTTAAACCATGGTATTGAATTGAATTTCTTGCCAGAGCATTTTTATTAACATTTTCACAGAGAATCTTTCATGGATCTAGAATCAGGTTGATGATATCTATGTGGAATTTAGCGCACATCCCAATAAAAAGACCGATTGAGTGAATTTAATAGTAGTTTGATGAGGGGACTGTCGGGCCTCGGCTCGACTGTGTGCCATTCTAGTTGTACGTGTTATTTGAAACATTAAAGTTTCAGGACTTCTACAAAGCTGAGAATTTTATTTTCACAAAGACAAACTCTGTAAACTTCTCAGATAAAAGTTTCTGCTTCATATTTGTGCGTTTGACCGACGCGTTTGAGGACGCCCTGGAGAAAACAAGTGGCCGTACATGCCCAGTAGATGGCACTCTCTCTCTGCCCCAGCGTCGCCCCGCTGCTCGGAGCGACGCCTCGGCTCAGAGCGTGGTAACAACATGCAGATATTAAATGCACGGCCACACGTTCAGCTTAATAACTCACTGCAGAGCCGCCTGCCGACTGCAAATGGGGCCTGATTTGCAACCTGACCTGACAATTGACCCTCAATTACAAAGGAAACCCTGTTAATACCTTCAGACTGAAACAGGGCCGACTAATTTGTATGAAAGGATGTTCGACTTTGTTATGCAAAGTGATGCGGCTTGTAAATTGATGAGGACAGTTTGCTCCTGTGTGATCTGAAGTGAGAAAAACAAGATTGACATGTTGGAAACATACGGGGTGTTCTCTTTGTGAAGTCCTGCAGGTAAACCTATGAATTCATCGGCGTCTCGACTGTAACGAAAACATTTCTTTATTAACTCTCATGACGGCTTCGACTTTCAGAAACATATTGCATCCAAATACGGGAGAGTCCGGAGAAGTCAATAAACGTCCTGGTGGGAATTTCTTAAATGTTCAACCAAATACAATCCAGGATTATTGGTTTTTGAACATGTAATAAAAAGTCGTTGTTTTATTGGATCTGCCTGGTAACAGTTTTGTTGTATAGACAGTGTTTTCGATTAGTTGCTGGATCAGAGATCACTCGAAGGGCAAGGGCACTGAGTTAAATCATAAAATCAGGGCAATCTTTTTCCGTGAGAAAATTCCATTAACTCTGGCTCACCTCCGCGTCTGTTTTATTAGCCCTGCGAAAGATTGAAGCCACATGGTGTCACAACCATAACTCTGCTCTTATGTTATCTTTGATTTCCACCTGTTAAAGCCATTGTCCCGAAACCAACTGAAACACTCCTTCCCTCTTGTGCTTTGTTCTTTTCCTTTCTGTTATATGATTTCTCATGATTAATCACTCCTCTTACTTCACCCCCCCCCCCCCCCCCCCCCCNTAAGCCCACTCACTCACCGAGTCGCAGCAGCACACTGACGGCCACCAAGATCAGGGATCCCAGCAGAGTTACCAGGAGCCAGACGGCCGGGTTCCCCCCCCTCCACTCGCTCTCCACCACTTCACATCCAACCGCACACTTCCCCTCCCGTCTGGCTCCGTCAGTCAGCGAAGGCTCCGAGGTGGAGAGGCTGGAGGACCTTCACAGACGGAGAAATCTCCTGGCGGCCTTCTGCAAACTGATAGTGCACGGGGTGCTGGAGATGAGCACGGCGGCTGAGGTCTTCATGTATTACACAAAGGTAGAGGACAACTCCTTAAAGGGATAGTGCAACAGTTTGGAGAAACAAGGGGAAACAGTCGGCATCAGACTCAGCACCTCTGAAGTTTGTCTGCTGGATCCAAACAATAAACGTACTGAACACACGCTAAAGAAACACTTATCGTCTTTCTGTTTCCCAGGTTGCACCTCTTTTTCTAATCCAAACAAAGATGGTGGCAGGAAATGATTTATCCTCTCACAACTTGAGTAAACATAGAAATGTAATAACCAGTTTTATCAGGATGTCTTGTTGGTTTTCATAAACTCAGAGTTAAGTTTGTCTGGTAGTTATTAGTATTACGCAAAAAACTACCACACAGATGAAACCTGGTGGAATGATGCAGGAAGTCTGAGGAAAGAATCATGAAATGTTGGTGCAGATATGAATCAGGGGGCAGATCTAGAATGTTTTCACTTAACATTGAGAGTTCTGGTGTTTTTCCACATTTCAGTATTATAACGACTTTGGAGACATCATCAAGGAGACCATGTACAAGGCCAGACAGACGGATAAGATCGAGAGCTCTCGCACTCTGGTCCTGTGTTTGCAACAGGTAAAGTCTCTTCACATGCATCCAAATAATCATCAGGCACTCACAAGCAGAAACACGCTGATGTGTTGGTTTTTCTTCCTGCGCTCCTCAGCTGTTCGTGCGACTTAAAAAGGAGCAGGAGAGCGGAGGCAGGGCTCAACCAGGAGTGCAGACCTTCACCAGCATCAAGGAGCTGGCCAGACGCTTCGCCCTCACCTTCGGGGACCCCTTCAAGTTCCGTGAGTGCGTCGTCATGATGCACAGGTGAGCGCAGGTTCTCACGGTCTGGATTCAGTGTTTGCAGGTTTTTGTGCCTCAACGTTTTTGTCTTTAATTGATTCAGGACGGGGATCGAGTTTGTGTTCCAGGAGTTCAACCAGACCCCAGAGACACCGACGCCGCCGCTCCTCTCGTACCTGACCATCCTCAGCGAGTTCTCCAGCAAACTGCTCAAACCAGACAAGAAGACGGTGTAAGTGCTGCACACAGGCCTCCAAACAATGCATTGTAAATCTCAGAAACACGTGTCAGCGTTTTCTGACGACTGTGTGCGTCTGTGCAGGTTCTTGTACCTGCAGAAACACACAGCAGAGCTTTTCATAAACCTCAGAGACGAGTGCTGGCAGCCGCTCGTCTACTACCGTGCTTCTCTATTGGCTGTAGCTGAAGGGGAGGATGCCGTGTCCTATGTCAGCTCCGACAGGAAGCCCTGCCCGCCCAGTCGCTCTCCTTTCTCCAAACAGAAGCTAGAAGGTAACGCACCAGACAGAACAGAGTTATATCACATCGTTACGAGCTACGTCACGCGTCTTTATATTTTTCAGGAGGTAAGTCTCCCTGTGCGTTCAGCCCTGTCGACTCCAAAGTTAGCAAAGGTCTCAGATCAAAATTCAGTCCAAGGTGAGGCTGACGATGATTCCTCACATTCTGATTTATAGTTGAACAAAAATAAAATCCTCCACGTCTCACTCACATTAACGATTGTAAACTCCTCAGTCATCAGGAGAAAACCACCGATGTGGAGCCTCCTGCACCAAGACCGAACACAGAGGGGTTCGTCCTCAGCTCGAGCAACGAGGCGGATGACGACACGGTGGAGATCGAACTTTAACCACGAGGAGGTTAGGGAACATCAAAACTTTTTTTTGTCTTCTGTGTTCAGGTGTCCAGACCTGCCAGCATCCAAAGCTTCTCAAACGTCTCGTACATTATGTTTTTTTAAGAGGACACGAGCTTTAAGGATAAATGTGATATTCTGTCTTCAAATCCCCAAAACAGACCAAAACCAACAATGAATTGCTAAATGGAATCTACTGCTGGAGAGCGTTTCTAGTCTTATCGACCACTCACCAAGCTTTACAGATACTCCGCCCCTGAAAGTAGGCCCTGGATAATTGAATCATGTTTAAGTAACATTTGTTAAGAATGTAAGTGCTCAGCTGTTATAGAGAACAAGTTGCTCTTTTAAAAAATCATGTGTTATAAGATAAGATGAACTTTTCTTATCCTCCGTAGAGAAAAGGCTTTTTTTTTTTAAAATGTGCAATATAGGGATGAAGGTTGAGAATCCAGCGGGTGTGAACGTGTTCGTGTCTGTTGGGAGGAAAGTGGGAACGTGCTGAGAGGAGTTAAAACATTGTTGGTTTTAGTCTTTTGATATTTATGGTATTTATTGAAATTAACACACAGAAAAACTCCAGCTTTACTTTTTTAAATTATGTTGAATTTAACATTTTGTCTTGAGAAGCAACTTTTTTTTTATTGCTTTACATCTTGTGTTTCAAATTAACTGGTGACATTAAGTGATCCATATTTTACTTCATTTGGATCAAACTCAGGTCCATGGTTTGTCTTTGTTTATTATCTGAATCATGCTGTTACTACCTGTCACTTTATTATTGCTCCTTATAGGAAACGCTGGGTTCAAGGTACCTAACTACCTATGTATTGCTGTAAAGTAACTTAAATAAACAGACATTTTACAAAGGGAGAAATGTTTGAAAGCATTTCATTACTCTCTGTTACCATCTTCACACTTCACACAACAGATTCTGTTTGGTGACAGAATCTTCTGGAAATGTAAAAGTGAACAAACACTTTTTACTACGTGAATGAAACTTCAGACTCTACTTTCTTAACTCTTCCATTAACCAGACTTTATTATTAATTTAAAGAAAAACAAAACATTTTAAAATTGGTTCCTTTTGTTCTGTCAAAGTACAAACTCAGTACTTTAAAACATAGAAAAAAAGAATCGGTCTGAAACATTCGTCCAAATCATTTACAACACAGCAAGCACCAAATACATATTTACAGCTATTTATAAATCCATCTATAATAATTTAAAACCCCATCTCACACATACAGTAAGTCATAATAGATACAGAGCTGTACAACATACAGTGTGTGTGTGTGTGTGTGTGTGTGTGTGTGTGTGTGTGNTGTGTGTGTGTGTGTGTGTGTGTGTGTGTGTGTGTGTGTGTGTGTGTGTGTGTGTGTGTGTGTGTGTGTGTGTGTGTGTGTGTGTAGCGGGCTCGGTGGCGGCTCGTTCACCTCAAACGAACCGTGAATGAATTAACAGCCTCATAGAAAACATTCAGTTATGATCACTGGAATGTAAAATTAGCCGATGACTGCAGATGATAATTAGTTATGATTGACGCTCCGGTGAGTAAAGACGGTGAAGTAGCTCCAAACATTACAGGTAAGAAACAAGTTCACATGCAACTTGTCCTGTTTTAAAGGAGACGTATTCTGCTCATACTCAGGTTCATGATTTGAATTTGGATTAATGTTTACATGCTCTAACGTTCAGAAAACACATCCTCATACTCTCCATTGACATCACAGTGTCCTGGAAGTATCAGGTGTTGGGGGAGAGCGGTCCACCTCTAAACAGAAGGTCGGCGGTTTGATTCCAGTCTTCCCTACCCGCGTGTGTGTGTGTGTGTGTGTGTGTGTGTGTGAATGGTAATAAACTGTACTGTAAAGCACTTTGAGTGGTGATCAAGACTAGAAAACTCGATGTAAATACAAACCATTTAACATTCACTACTGACGACGTGTTTCAGGAGCGGTGGGGCAGAGGAGCTCTCTTTACAGAGGACCGAGGAGATTTAAACTTTACAGGTGCTGAACTTTCTCCAGAATTGGATTTTCACATATGAGGATTGCAGCAGGAGATTCTGTGGTCACACACTTTTCCCAACAACGTAGAAAAAAGATTTTGAGTGAGTTGCGGGAGGCAGGATGAACTTTGTTAATTCCTTTGCGGAGATCGTCGTTGACAGCATATGGACACCAGCGTCAGCACATGTCGCCAAATCTTTCCGTCTTTAACGAACTCTTTTTCATCCTGAGATATTTGTATTCTTTTAGTTTTTTTTCAGTTTTGCGTCCGTCACGTGTTAAAGACATTACTTGTTCTGAATCTAATAATCTCCTGCTGTATTCCCACATGAGCTGGGACATCATCTGGAGTTTTTACTGGAAGTCTGAAAGCAGCTTAACACGCCAGAGGAGATTAAAAAACTGAAAAAGCATCATGTGTCTCCTTTAAAACATGAGGAGGCATCAAACGTCCAAACCGTGCCGCTCGTCGCATCATGAAACCAACTGTGGTGTTTTTTTAATAACAGGTGAGAATATTAAAAATTCTGGTTCAGTATTATGAGGAACTTCACATCCTCTCAATCCTGTGTGTCTGTTCCTGCAGCAGATCTGACCTCCACCAGTGCTCCGACTGTGTCCTCTGTTTTCTAACTTGTGTCTTTGTAAGCAGAGTGAGTGTAACCTGCACATCTCTGGGCCTGAACGCTGCTGTTTGAGATCCACTCCTGGAAGCTGGCGCCGCTTCAGCAGGATGAGAGAAAACCCTCTGCGGTCATTCCAGGTCGTCGTCGTACTCGTACTCGTCCAGGTCCAGGTTGCAGTGCGGACTGGGAATCTCGAAGAAGTGTCTCTTTGTCAGACCCAGCTCAGTGGAGATGTGCTGCCCCAAAGGGCTCAGAGGGTTATCATACCTGAACACACACACACACGGAGAAGACGATCAGCCAGACGCATCAAACTGAATAAAACAAGAGTCTCATCTGAACACTGCGGCAGGCTTTACTCGCTGTAATCATTCTCTCTGTTCATACTGACCGCTAAAAATCCCTTTCTCTTTTTGTTCTCAGTGTAAGTAACAGGGATTAAATCCAGAGCTCATTCTGTGCTGAAATCTGTGCCAAAGTTGATGTGAAGTTCACGTGAAGCTTTAACTGTACGAGCAGCACAAATCAAAAGAGAGTCTGAGTCATTTTAATAAAAATGAATCCTTCTTTGAGTTACTGTCTCTCTGCAGCCCTGTGAGAAGAATCGCTCTGTGGAGACATAACGAACGGAAACAAAATACCCACTTGATTTGTCCAACTCAGATTTACTTCACATGAACGACAGAATACTGCCTGTCCCTCATTTCTCCTCACAGTGGACCAGTCGGTATGAACTGAAGGAATAATTACAGCAAATAAAAACCTTCTCGATGTGCATACAGAGACATCGAGGTTGTTGTTGTTTTAAGATGAATTTAACTCCGATAGGATCATTAAAACACATTCAATAGTTCTCTTGACTCTGCTGAATGTATTAAAGGAAAAATATGTTTAAGGAATAGTTGGACATTTGGAAAATTAGCTTATTTGCTCTATTGCAGAAAGTTAGACGAGAAGAATGTGACGCTACAATCAGTAGCTAGTTAGCTTAGCTTAGCAGATTGACTGGAAATGGTTTTGTCCAAATTAAAACCCATGAATTACTGTCACTTTAACCTGTGACCCATTTTAAAAATTTTAAATCTGGATAAATAATATTTTCAGCAATTTATGTTCATTCATAGATTTTAAATGAAAAAGGCAAAAATAAAATGGAATAAAGGCAAAACGTGGACAGACACTGTGTACATTATGTACTTATATACACTGTATTGCCTATTTGTATTTGTATTTCTTACGTATCACACGTTCTTCTCTTCCTGTTTTTTAAGATACCATGCTTATGTGGAATGGACAGTTTACAAATTGCTAAACCAAGAAAACTGAAATACACACTTGGTAATAAAAGATGAACCTGGACGAGGTGGATCTTTTACTCTTTGGTAGCTTCTTTTTTTCTCTAAGCTGATTCTTGGTGAGAAGGAGGGTGATGAATTATGTGTAGTTCCTAAAATGTCAAACTATCCCTTTCAACAGACCAGTGTTCGGAGAGAGGACGGAGGAGCACCACATGAAGGCATGGACACAGATGGTGCAGTAGTGGAGCAGGGAGGATAAAAACAGAAGTGGTCCAGGTCAGAAACAGACTCCCGTGCACACGATACTGAGCGGACTCTCTTCTGTCAGCAGTGCGGCTCAGACTGGGGGGGAGGGGGGTTTAGGATAAAACTCATCCCGGAGAAAAGGGAGAGAGGTGGAGAACACCGCTGCAGGTTACTCTGAGTCTTACCTGCTCTGGTTAGCAGCCTGCCTTTAGAAGTTGGTGGTGCTCCTATAATCACCACACAACAGACCTGTCAACAGCCTCATCTATCACCGACCCTCACTACTCACAGGGGCGGCACTACCGGACCCTCAGTCTTAGAAACGAGACCGGCCAAACTAGCTAACGCTATAACCAGGGCCTGTAAAACACTGTGCTTCTGTGGTCACATGAATATTTTCTTGTATATTAAATAACATGAAATAATATTTCATGAGGTAAGATATATTTTCCTACAAAAACCTGAATTGTTGTATTTAAAGAAATTTGCAGAAATTAATAAAATAAAGTGGGGCATGAAATAACTTCTGCTGCTTGTATTCACACCTGAAAAATACTGTTTTAGAAAAATGTGAATTTACACTGTTGAATGCAGACAGAAGAAGGTGCATGAAAAGTGACGAGTAAAGAAAATGACACCTTTATTCAGTCACATTAAATTGTGCCCTGGTTTGTAGCAGCAGCTGTATCCGAGCAGACTTACACATCGTTGCACTGATCGTTGGCTGCCTCCTCCGCCACCAGGATGTCGTACTCCTCTGCAGCGTATTTCTCCCAGTCTGAAACCTCCTGTCCGTCTGTTTCCACCTCCTTAAACACACGACAAATGACATCATCAGCTTCACAAATCTATTTCACATCTGGTGACGTCCTATCGGAGTTTAACCTTCCTTACCCTTATAGCAGAGAAAGGATCCCTCTGCTCGTGGTCCAGGTATTTCTCAATGTTGAAGAAAGTGTCGTAGAAGATGTGGGACAACTTGCACCTCTTAAGGTCCCGCAGCGTGATCTTACCTGGGCAGAGAAAAGGTAGTCACTTTAGACAGCTTCCCAAACACACATACACACAGACAGATAATTTATGGCATCCATATATTTGTCAGGTTGGCGGGGGAGTGGGCCAATCTCATCAAACTGCGAAGCAATATAGTGACAGTATTTGAAGCTAGAGCAGAAACCAATGGGCGCTTTCATGATTCACGATTGTTTAACTATTCATTTATCTGTCAGTCATTTTTCCAATTAACTAAATCATCTGTGACAAGATATCAAGTTATTAGAAATTGTTTATTGTGTTAAAAGGTTCACAATACTCAAATGTATTGAAATGAGAGATGTGAAACAGAAAATCTGAAAACTTTTCTGATGTGTGAAGCTGTTTACAGGAAGTGTTTTGAATACTGACGTACACTCTCCTCTCTAAACCCACCAGATAACTTGCTCTGCGACGTCTGAAATGAAGTGATATCTTTGTAGCAGCCAAACATTAGTTTCTACTTTTAAAAGAGCAGAAAAGACACTAGTGCTTGATGAGAGAATAAAGTTCTGCCTCCCCCGACGGTGGCATTTTAGACCCTCTCTAGTTTGTTTATGAAAACGCCACCAGACTCTTCTGATCTGCATATTATGTCTCGCTCCTTGTCATCAAATGTAACATCTTCAAATTTCATACGGCCCCGAATCTCGTCTAATTAAATGTGAAATTTGAACAGACTCTAAAATCGGTTGTGAATGTGAGGGTTGTTTTGCTTGGCAGTGACGTAACCATCGAGGGAAACATCAGCCTCAAACGCACGGTGAAGAAGTTGTTACATCTCATATTACATGTTATATTACACAGCTGCACCACCGCCGCTCAACCACCGGGTCAACTTAGGGTCACATTCCTGCTGCGGCTATCAATACTAAACATGCACAGCCTTAACACTGACAAGTGTCTTCTTCATGGCCTTTTGGTAAAGCTAAGTTCTGAGGGGAATTTGTTGACAGTGTGGACGACACGAGCAGCTGGCAAGAGTCAGTCCAGACCAGTCAGTGTCTCCTCTATGTATAACTGTTCCCTCAACTAATGGTCACTGACCTGGACTGAAAATGTTCAACGTGTGTCTGTCAATGTCACGGCAGGAAAAGTGGAAGCTGCCTGACTCGGTGCGTGAACATCTGAGAGTGTGTATAAATGTAAAAAGGCTCCAACCTTCGACCTCAGGCTTGACAAGGTCGAGCATTTGGCAGAGGCAGTCCTCGAAGGGAAGGGGCTCAATCGCCATGGCCTCCAGCTTCTGACACTGCTCCTCGTAGAAGTACTCCAGCTCGTACATGCTGAGCACCCCGTCCCCGTCCAGGTCCATGCAGCGGAACCAGTACTCTATACTGGACGCAGATAAAAGAGCAGCAGGCAGTGGTGCGTGTTAGACATAAAAGCTATAAAGCGACAGAGGACGTAATTGGTGGAGAAAAAGTTGGTTTCACGGCCGACGTTCGGACTTGTAATTGTAGGAAAAGCACAGGTGTTAGTAATAACATTAATGATTCAAACGTCCCTGTACGCCATGACAGTTTGACAGTGAGTGACTACACATAAGAACCTCACACTGCAGCAGCAAAATAAAATTCAGTCATCGTTGATTTGATCTTTTACATCTGTGCTTTTCCTACAGTACCCGGTTAAAATATCCACATTAAAAACAGCCTGTAGAGACCTGATAGTTGACTCTATAGCGAGCAGTAAATTACGTCTTCTGGATATTCATGGATTGTGGTCATTGTATTTCACCACCTACAGTTTTAGTGTCACCTGTGTGTAATTTCCACAAGTGCAGCAAAAGGAAAGTTTAAATTGTATGAAAAATGTTGTTCTATGTAGAATATCTTTCACACTAAGAATTTTGACACTAAAATAAAACGTTGGCCTGCATACGTAAAGCACTTTATAATAAAAGGAGTGATTTTGGATGCAGAGTGTGTCCTCATACCTGGTGTCAGTCTTCTTGTCTTCCTCGGAGATGAGGAACCAGACGAAATCGGCATAACTCAGCCTGCCCTCCTTATGCACTCGTCTGTCCCTGATGATAAAAACCCATGATTTGTATTAAAAACCAGCAATGGAACAGAAAATGCTTAAAAAAAGTTTGCTACTTTTAATGAGCATCATTTAAACTCAAGATATTTCTGACTTGCCTTGTTACTGTTCCTGAGAATATTCTCTCGATCATCTTTTGCGAGATGGCTGAAAAAAGAGCAAAAAGATAAGTTACAATCAAGAAGGAAAAACATAATCATTTCTCTCTTTAGACAACAGCGCTCTCAGTTATGTACAATTTTTTCACAACACATGTAGTCCATTCCCTCAGACAGTAAATCCAGACTCTATAGTGCAGCTCTTTTTTTTTTTTTTTTTTCAACCTTGACAATACTATAAATCCTCCACTCATAATTTTGACCATATAGTTGTAGAAATTGTTCCAGACATGGCGTCACTGGAGCAGACTATACTATATGCTGTTCCCTCATTGATCTTGTGTCTCATTTCCCCTGCCTCACTCGCAGGCCGTCAACCGAGAGCATGTGTTGTGAAGTGTGAGGGGAAGAAGCATCAAGTATTTTTCCTGAGTGTGTTTTCACATGAGCAGTAAACCTGAACCAAAATACCACTTACTAATTGTTTTTATTGTTAAATATAGTTTGAAACTATAGACTGTTCCAAAAGGTTAAAGGAAAATTACTTTCTTGTGTTCTGACTAAGTTCAGTACACATTCTGCTTCTTTGTGAGGTTCTTGTGACGTCACCGTGACCTTAGACCACGTTGATCTAATCGTTTAAATCAACCGATTATTTGAGCCAAATTTGAAAGAATTCTGCAGATGTGTTCTTAATATAAAGCATTTTCAAGGGGAAAAGGGTTTTTTTGTGAGGTCACAGTGATCTTGACCTCTTACTTACAACCACAGAAACATTTCTAAAATCATATTTGTAAATATTTGATTCCAGTCAGGTGTTAACATCTTGGTGAAAGTCAGGTGTGTTCATGCACCTTGGTCGTTGTGTCGTGCCATGTCCTTCTGGTCTATGTAGAGGTCATGGTCTGAGTCTAACTCCCAGAATTTGCAGTAGATAACGTAGAAATGTTCATAGGAGAAAAACTCTGTCAGCTGGTTCACGTCTTCTTCCTGCTCCAGCAACATCACATTCTGGCACAGTGAGAAAAAAATGTCTTCATTATATGAAATTAAAATGATTAAAAAAGATGACTTCTACTTTACTCTTGCTTATTGTATCATACTAACGCTGTGATAAAATTAGTCTTTTAGTTTTACCTCCAAATAAAGTGGTTTGATAATGTGGCTAAACAGTTTAACAGTTTGTTCATCTGACTGAAATGATATAAACAAGCTTTAATTCATATTTTAGACAAAAAAACAAGGTTTAGCATAGATATAAATTTTAAAAGGCTTAAAGGACCTATACTTATTGCAATTCGAAAACAATATTAAAGGACATATGTATTAAGAACCTACAGACATCTTTAATGAAATACTTAAAAATGCATTTTTAGAACAAATAGAAAAAAATGGGAAAAGTAATTTACCTGAAGAAAGTTACTTTTCCTGAGCTCATGACTTGATATTTTTCCAGTCCATGACCGGTTCACATTGTAAAATATCCTCTGAATCACCTGAAAAACAGTTGACAGTGTTTTCATGTGCAATTGGAAAACACACCGAAATACCAAATCTAATTCATTGCAGTCTAGTTTTCCTGGTTCACTAGCTGCAGTGTTTTTAGTATGGCAGCATACCGTGGTAATGTATCGTGAGTGAAAGTCCGGTGCCTCCTTTAGAAAGGCCAGGCCTGCATGCGTGTTCACCACATCCTGGAAATATAAAGTAAAGTTAGCTCCCTTTTATTTCTACTGCACATCTGCTTCAATTCCAAAACATATCTCACAAAACTAATGGACACGAATGCAAAAATAACAACTCTGTCACATGCTGATCTAAAATTACAAATACATATGTTCAGCTGAATTCTGCATTTACAATTACAGATGAGTTACATGGAAAACCACATCTGTCTTTCTTTTTTCACGAAGCAGAACACATGACATTCAGAGAGGGAATTTAAAAGCAAACATCAGAAGTCGTTAATGTCAATCGACATCACTCTGTCATACCATATGCTTTATAAATCGTGCTACGTAAAGAAAAGGCTCCAGACCTTGTTCAGAGAAACCACAAATTCAAATGTTTCTTTGAAGTCAGAATTCACTGGGTCAACCATTTTTAGGATGAGCTTCAGTCTTTCTGATTTTACAGGAAAGTAGTGGGAAGGCCAGTTAAAAGACGTTTGCTGGTGACTGCTCTTAACCTTCCCTCCTTCCTCATGCCATAAAGTCACAGGGGGGTGTGCAGCATTTCAAATGCACTGTAGCTATATTCCTGCCATCAAACCCTGTCGTTTCTTTATTCTACCCCCTTCTCTTCTGCCGGAGGAAAGAATTGTTGACATAAATGCGAAGGCGGCAATGAAATTAAAAGGCCTTATTTCAGGGCAGCCGTCGTGCCTCTTTGACTCTTACTGTGAGAAATTAAATCATAGAGAAACACATAAATCACGGGGCACAGGAAACAGGCGGGGACAGTCAAATCTACTCCACTGCAATCCGCCTTTCATTCATCAAAACAGTCAAAGGCGATTCGCTGTGCCGAACCATACAAATTAAACTGCGAGTGCCACAAGGCATCTCTGCTGGTATGCTAACGGCTGTTCAGCACAGCCCACATGCTCCTGCCAGCATGAAAATGAATCAGGTGTAGGGTGGGGCCAGCACGGAGCAGCAACAGCTTGTCAGGTGGAGTGAGAACACAAACAGCCAGCACAGCAGGTCCACATGGTGAGACCGGCCAAACAGTCAATTACATGATTCTCAGGGAAAGATTTGAAAGATTTTTTCTGTGATTATCTCGATCTGTTACCAGGCTTTCTGCAGGTTTCAACAACTCTCTCAAACCGTAATGAATGAAATATAAGCCCCATGTCAAGTGCGACAGATACGAAGGAATATCCGAGTCTCAGAATTACAGAGACAAACCTATAGTTAAAAGTTAAGGTGAAGTAACTTATAGACTACATTATCTTAATGTACAGGCAGAGAGAGCATGTATCCACAGTCTTTTTGACCAAGCTGTCTGTCACCTGTTCCACAATGATCTTGTTTGTAGTTTTATAACATTGTGCTAATCTAGCATTATTGAGAAATAACTACACCACAGTGAGCTATAAGAAACTATGCACACCATCAAAACATTTGTCTTAAAAAAATAAAATAATATTTTACTGTATTTAAGTCTTTTTAAAGCCTAAAATTCATAATAATCCATCCAAACTTTTTAAGACACTACAGGAACCCAGATTACATCAGATACATTTTCACCTCCATCTTCACTTGGTTAATTTTGGCTGAGTTTGAATCCTTCACCAGTGGAATCTCCTCTTGTGGAGAATCTCCACCACCATATTACTGGCTTACAGTAACATCCCTAAATTAGTCCTCAACCACATTAAATGTCCAGTTCACACCACTCAACCCAATGCAATTTTTGCCATACCACAGTGCCAAGTTCAACCCTCTCCCTGGGTGTGCTGCAGCCCGTACCTGCAGGAATGGAATAAAGTCGTCTTGTTCCAGGTAATTACAGCCAGGCTTGGCCAAGAGGTGCACGAATTTAGAAGCGTCATTGTGACAGGTCTGCAGAATTCTGGAGAAGAAAAGAGAGAACAGATGGTTGCAAGGTTACTCCCCCCCTTCACTCCCATGTTCTCTCTATGCTTTTTATCATTCTTTTGGCAACACAGGTTTTGAATAGTTCCACATAATAGTGCAAACGCAGGTATAATACATTCTGAAATTAGAATTCTGAATAGCTGCTTGGTGATTATAAGCGTGGAGAGTTATGGTGGCGGCGGAAAAATAACGCAGGCGTGTGGTGTGGCCTCTCATCTGAGAAGGGCTCAGTCATGAGCTCAAGTCAAAGGCCAGGTCTGTGCAGTTCTCTGGAGGCTCATACATTAATACAAGACCATGCTTACAGCATGCAATCGTGTTCAGCAGACAGCGAGCAGCCACCATTACAAAAGACCAATGGTATTCTCTTCAAACAGAAAGACACTGAATGGTTGTTTTCATTTATATACTGTATATGCAAAGAGACTGTCCCCTTTGAGTGTTGTACAAGGGCTTTGTGATCAATGATTTCTGTTAAATGAAAAGGAAAATGTGATAAAAGCAGATAGCTGCATGCAGCATCTGTGATCCCTCGCGAGTCGTCATCATTGTCCAGAGGAGACAGTGTGAGCCATTTGGCTGTGAGTGACTGAACCAGTAGTCGGGTGAGAATAAGAGGAGCTATTGTCTTACTTTCTCCACATGGCCACGAATTTGTGAACCGACACGAAGCCCGTCCTGTCGCCTCCAGCCGAGTTGAACAATGGCACTTTCCAGTAGACAGGGCACTCACAGGCCTGAGGAGACGAGGAGGGAGGGATGGGGTTGTGTGTGGTGTGGACATAAAGGAAAACCATGGATGAGAAAAATATATAGCACTTTAATTTTACATATGTGACATTTCATGCATGAAAGAACATCACAATGACACATGACTCAGTTTGGTTTCGAAAGCAGTGCTGCATCACTTGCAGACTTCCGAGGAAATCTAGTTGTCATTTCTCTCTTTACTCAGGTTCCCCTCAGGCCATTGCTCACATTCCCCGAGGAGATGAAGATAATATTTTCCATGGGGTTTAAAAAAAAATTAAAAATCTGTAAACATTTGTAAAGTCAGGAGCTAAATGGCAAAAATGAAAATAATTAGCTGGGTGGCAGCTCAACCGCCGTGCTACAAATCACATTCTCACCTTGGCAACCTGCCCCATGTCCTCAATGGTGGCCCTTTCATTTGGGAATTGGGAAAATATTTTCTCAATTTTGGAAATGAGGCTGTCGATGTTGAGGTTGGCCTGGGGCCGGCCTAGTGGGAAGTAAAACTTTGGAATGCTTTCACTGAGCGCTGTGGTGACGGGCTCCTCCGTCCTCACCTGGGCCTGTGAGAAACACAGAAATAAACTGTTAGCCAATAATGCTTGCAAACACTTCTCGGTTCAAGTAGTCCATGTGCTGAGGCTTGTCTTAGCACAAACTCTGCACTGCTGGCACTCGTGTAACCACACCTCTCATCAACCCAAAGGGAAGAGTTGTGACTACTCGGCAATGGTATCCATTTATCTGTAATAGATACGCCTGTGATACACATTACTCTCTGCAGGGTTGTAAGGCTGTAACAGATTTCAATTAAGATGCGTAAACTGACATTAACAGGTGCTGAATGTTTGGCCTGATAAATAGTTGCTGAAAGCCTCGATTGACCTAGTATTGTTAGCAACTTGTTAGTAGCATCTGTTCAAATTATGTCTAATCTGAGGGATGTATATAACAAGATAAAGTAGACATGGCGGAGAAAATCAATCATGAATAACATCTACATGTGTTAATCCACTGACAGAGCTATTACTCTATTTCTACATAAGAAATAAAGCATTTCAACATTCGGAAATTGGATTTACTTATTTACAACTTATGATTTTGGTTTTTAATAGCACAATATGTGATCTCTACTACAAAATTAGTTCTCTTACCAACACATTCAAATAACACTCTTTTGTCAATAATGTTTCAAACCACCTTATATTTATCAGTTGCAAAGTAAGTTAAATTTATCATTTTTCAAGCTAAAATGCAAAACATTTTGTGGCTCCGGCTTCTCAGATGTGATGATTTACTGCTGTTCTTTGTGACATGTGAAGGTTATCAAGTATTTGAGGTACTTCTGGAAATTACAACCAATGTGAGTGGTTTTTAATATTTGCCAACAACATATGGACCAAATGATTAATTAAGAAGATGATTGGCAGAGGAATTGGTAATGAAAATTATCTTTAGTTTCAGCCCAATTAGATTTCATTTCATGTAAGAACAACTTTTTAATACTTCCCCATTTATCTGGAAACAAACCTCTTATCACTGCAGATATTTTGACTTGACAAAGCAGGAAAGACATGCCAATAGCAATATTATACTGTATGCATGTTGTGCCAAATGTCTGCTGGAAAAAAAGGCCAATAGGTCAAACTAACTCTATTACTAGAAGTCATATTTGATTATATTCCTAGGGGAGAGCTACAATAAATGTGTACGCATAAAAATGGAACTCAAAGTATGCAGCTGAGCAGATACAATAAGCAGAAAAAGGTGTGGAGCTGGCATGTGATGTGTGTGTGTGTGTGTGTGTGTGTGTGTGTGTGTGTGTGTGTGTGTGTGTGTTTGAACTGTACAGTAGGGGTTATAGGTCCGTTAGTTTGAAGTTAATATTAGCCACAATGCTGCGTTCAATTTCCTTGTATCTCCTTACCAATTCATTTCTAACCAGCTCCAATGGATGTTATTCAATAGTGCTACACCTCTTTAATACATTTAAAACAGAAACCATCAAATATATGAGCCTGGACACACCTGTGTATTTATTTACAACCTTAAAACAAAAGCTCTGTATGTGAAGCCTTTGCAGTTATTAGTGTTATAAAGCTATAAAGTCTAGTCATGATAGTGGAAACCAGTCTTTCTTTATACATCTGACAACAACAACATTGTGTAACATTGTTCCCAGGCCTCCGTGTCATGTTAAATCTAATTCCTAACCAGCATGATTTACCACACCAACCAAGCACAGCTGACATACCAAGACACGATCATGGGAATTGACGAAATCTACAGTGTGTGGCTTGCTGAGGACCGTCAAGATATTTCCACAGCCACATATAAAAAGCAAGAATGCCTCAGGATCCAATTGTGTTATGTTGCACATATTAGCCAGTTATTTAAAACAGCTTGAGGAGAGCACACTTGACTCAAAAGTCATCTCATATTTAGAGACTATTTACACATCAGGATCATTCTCTGTGGCTTTTAATACTCAAATAAACACACCCACACAGCGCCCTGATAAGAGACCGAAATACCGACTTGCTGTTTATTTTAGCCTGACACATTCTACTCATTGTTCACACCTCTGACCATAGTTGAAAGATTCTAGATATAAACATCGGGTTTGTGACAACAAAACTTTTAAAAACCTAAAAAAAAAAATATGGAGGGCCAGGGACATTATTGGAATTTATTTATCTGTGTCCTTTCTGCATGTATTTGCAGCAGTATGGAGTGAAAATGTTTTACAGTGTTCTCTCAGAGGTAATCTGCTCATTTTTAATAAATGCCGCTGATCCTGTTCTTCTCTGTCCTGTGTGTTGGTGTCAGTCATGGCTATAAAAGGACATAAACATCTCCTGTTGCCGGCACTGTCCTCCCTCTCTTCCTCCCTCTCTCCCTCCCTCTCCCCCCTCTCTCTCTCGTCATGCTAACCACTAGCAGAGCTCTTGAGCACAACTGGTAAGCCACATGACATTTTGCACGTTGACAATGATGTCCTGAAAGAGGACAGTGAAGGATATGAGCACAACATACCACACGGGATGAAACATCACACCATCATTATAACCAAGGCTCACATCTCATGTCTGTTTGTAAGTAATTCACTGAGCAGACATGATTGCACAACTGTTGCAATTCACAGTTGTGTGTAAATATGTCTGGAGAAAGTGATGCAACTGCTCATTTGTCCTCACATCTTCAAAATACATAATCCTCCATTTTGTAATGAATAATTGTAAACAATAAGGGATATGTGGCCTGAATTATAGTAGATTTGTATTACAATACAATCTGAACACCAAGATATTAAGCCCACACATACCAGTCCACATTAATAGACCTGCCCACTGGCTGACAGGCCGGCAAAGCCTGTTCAGTGGGGGGTACACTCAAACAAACACCTGCCTGTCCTTGTTGGAAAGCTCTGAGCCTCTTCTTGAAGCGAGATGGCAGAACAAAGTCACAGCCACGTGCCAGCAGAGCCAACTCCTTCCTCAGGTCAGGGTCCTGACGCAAAGACAGCTCCTTCATCCTCATCCTCGCGCCAGACAGGACGGGGAACACATATAAACAAGCACAATAATACTCAATCCAGTTATCCTCTTCACCGTGGAAATCACTCAGTTGTAGTCAACACTGAGGGCAAAAGGCAGCGGCAGCCGTGGAAGTCCTCTGTCCCTGTGTCCCTGTGATTGTCCTCTGTCAGAGTGAGAGCCTCTTAATGCAAGAGAGCAGCTGCAACTGTGACTCTCTCTCTCATTCCAGATCGGGTCGCACAATCTCAGCTCTGACTGCTGCCCTGTCTCGGTCTCTACACACCACACACACACTGCACAGGGTCAGGGAGCCCTTGCCCCAAAGTTGCTGAAGAGATAAGAAGTGACGGACTGGATGTGTGTGGGACTCACTTAGTGTAAGTGTAGGATGGGAGGGGTGTGTGCAATGGATCTGCCCTTTCCAGTTTGCATTCCTCTGTGCTCATGGAAGGTTATGCAAAGAGACAGACCTGTTGTTGCAGCTTGCAGCAGCCACAGGGGCCAAGTGAAGGATGCACCTCAATACCACAATGACACGGTGCTCATGTTCACTGGCTTCCTTTCTAAAAAGCTCCCACACTACAGAACACTTCAGAGAATGTTTGATTGTGCTGTGAGCCCTAAAATTGGACATCCAGTCTCTTGGACAATGAAGTGATGGAATATAATGAATGCCACATGTTACTTTACTAAATCTGCTACTAAATCTAACTGGGAGTTTCACAACAACAGGAAGAAGACTAAGTTAACTTAATGAGTCATGTGCAAATAAATACAAATAAACCAAGGTTTGATATGGACATCTCAGCGGAGCACATACCTCTACCAGGTCTCAACCGTCCCCTTAAACTCAATCAAGCTAGACTGTATTGCACACACTCATAGATTCACACTCATCAATTCCCTAAATGTGCCAGTTTTTTATCCATCAAGATCCGTGAATTATTTCCTGGGAAAATGTTGAGAAAAACTATCTTTCTTGAGCTGTTGAAGACAATGAAAAAAAAATCCTGGATCCACACCAAATTTAATGGGTTCTTCTCTGACCCATACTGCATCCTTCCACCAAGATTTGTGGAAATCTGCTCAGTTTTTTTTCTGTTATCTTGCTTAAAAACAAACAAACCATCAAATAAATGGACAGGGGTGAAAACATAAAACCCCTTGGCGGAGGTAAGCACAAACATATATTCAAAAATTCTGCATCCTATCTTATGGTGGTCTTTGTTTTGCCTTCCCTTTGCAAGCTTGGGCTGCCAGCCATTCCTTATCTTATTATAGTTGATGGGCAGTGGGAGGAGATGAGGAGGAGGTGGGGGGGCACATGTCAAATTCAAAGAATGATGACCGAACCAGTCTGCGCCTATTAAAAGCACTAGCGAGCGCTGTTTGGGGCAAGCCAAGAAACTAGCTCTGGAGAAACAAGAGTGTATCTTTAGTCCTCAAACAAACATTTGCTTCCGGTTGCTGCTGCTGTCTCACAGTGATAGCAATTACATCAATTCTCCAGAATTGAGCTGATTTAACAGCTCTGGGTTGCCTTCACAACAGTGACCGTACACAGGGAAAGCCCAGCACATGTACATGTTATAGTGCCTACTGATGGAAATGTTAATCAAATAAAAATGGCACACATATGTCTGCATTATTAGACTATGTATATAAACATATATTTGTATATGTTATTGTACTCTTGAAAGCACACCCATCGTATTTTTAGTTGACAGGATCACAAAGTTCACAGTTTTCCACTGGTTTCTGCTCAAACCCAGTTCCTGTTATCATCCACACAGGACACTGCACAGGCTTGATAAGCTGTTTGTGCCAAGACCAAAATAAAACCTGGTAGATCACATGAAACTGTCAACTCACATGGAACACTGTTCTGTCCGTTATTTTGTCATCTGTGTTGGAGCAAAAAAAATCTGGAGTCTGTTCCACAAACAGAGGCATCGCAACGCAGCAGGAATAATGATTTGTTTTACATATGTGGAAACAGCTCTGTTGTTTTTCTCACTAGAGTACATGTGGTAGGAACAGCAGCCGGTAATAAAGATACCACACACACAAGTGTATGAAGTGCCTGGCTTTCACAGACAACCCTTAATTATAAGTGAACGCTAATTCATTGTGTGTATTTTATCATAAGTAGCTCATGAGTTCTCCTCTCAAAAATTAGTTATATGAGCACAAAGTGACCGTGTGTAATGACTTTCCCTCAAGGTTCCAGAGACAAACATCCTCAGAATGGGATGAATGTAAGGTCACTGTCACCTTGACTTCTAAAGTTGAAGGAGTCTATCCTTAATTAAGAGAAAAGAGCAGACATACAACCAGAAAGCTTAATGCCTCCATCATTGTGAATGCCTTTTAAATAACCCAAATGGAGAAAGTCCAGCAAGCCTTACTGACCAAATCATCTTATAACCACTGCAGGCAGATTGTCCTGCAAACACCACTAAGCATGTGTCAGTCACACAGGCTGCTGAAGTCCTACATCCACACTGTAACGGGTCACTGTGACAAAAAGGAAAAAAAACAAGAACTCAGACTGACCTCACAGTATGTCTAATCTGTGAAGTGCTAAATCTGATTTGTACAGAAACATGTGTCCGGTCATGTTCCGCTCATTACATAAGGGATGAGATTACTGAACACACTGTATGAAGTTAGTGACCACTGATGTGTCTGGATGTTTGGCTTTCCTGCAGTCAGATGACTATTTGTTGAGGTTGTATTTTGAGTTGAGCTTCAACAGATGTGGCGTTCAGCACTTTTGATTCAAAACTGTGATATTCAAGTGTCAACAAGCATAGCAGATCTGCAACAGGAGAGAGTAATACATAAGAGAAGGGTGGGAAACCTGAACAAAATTCCCCTGAGGGCCCCTCTGCCAACCAGTCGATACAGGCATACATGGTGTCCCACATTTACTATGTTTGGCTTCATGTGTGTTTAACTAACTTGATCGAACCAATGACGTGTGCCACAGTACGGCCACACAGAGGTGACTCAGCCTATCACAACCGTGGGGGTAGAGCTACAACCGATTCATGACAAGGGTACAGAACCAATGCTGCTGTGAAATCCCAAAAAGCACCAACTGAATCCACCACAATCGGATGTCTGACGGGGGGATTTTGGGATACATGTGAACGTGGGCCAAAAATAGGCCTGACTGACAACGTGGTGGGCTCAGGGAAGGACTACAAGTAGAACATGATGTGCGCAGATCAGCTAGCTTGCATAATAGTGATAATGCACAAGCAGAGCCTATCAGTTACCAAAAACCTATGTAGTCTACATGTCTCCACTAGTGGAGCAAAGGGTATGATCGCTAAAGAAAGAAGCCGCAAAGATAAGAGAGTTACAGAACACAACACCCCAACAATTCCATTACATTCTTAAAGTGACTGCAATGTTAATATTGCTTTATTGTCTGTATTGTATTTATATGATTATAGTTTACAGCAATTAGTTGTTATACACATATTTATATAAAATTTAACTTTATTTAAGATATCTACCAAAAGAATGTGGTGATACAACCTTTTAGTTTCATGGAATTTCATTACTGCTGAATAGTTAAGCATTATAATAAGCAAGCTGGACAATATGGCATTTATACTGCTATATAAATATTTACATCATTCCATTATAGACTCCAGACTTGAAACGATTAATCAAGGGTAAGGAAATTAAATCGTTTAAATATTAGACCACTTATCAGACAAATCAGATAAATGTAGAAGAAATATTTTTTAAATGCATCAGTTGACAGACACCTTGTATTTCTTTATGCTATCTCAAACAGGCTAAAATAACTGAGTCTTATCCGGAACTAGAACTTTGAAAACATACATTTGACAGGTTGCCAAGACTCCAAAATAAAAGCACTTGTGGGAAACAGTTTAACACTCTTCGACAGGTCAGGCAACTGAAAACGTGACCCTGGACCCCTGCTTCAAATAGCTTCTATGTTACTGAGTCCAACTAAGCATGTTATAAAAAGACGTCTTGAGAAATAACCGGTGATCCTAAATGTAGACATCGAGAACAGAAGAAAAAGTAAACACTCAAAGGAAACTTATTTCTGTTGCTCTATATAAATACGGCCATGCATGTGTTTGTCACCTAACTGCTCTCGCAATGTGAAGGAAGAGCAGAACCCAAAAGCAAACATTTATAGTGGGCTGATGATTACTGTACAAAGTGTAAATAACAGATCTGAAACCACATATTCTGATAATGGGAAGCATCCAATAGTAGCAGTTTCAGAGTAAATTACACAGAGGATGAATGTGCTGCCACATCTCATCTCCCTGGCAGAGTTCTGGGTATCTAATGCCAACGCAAGAGAACCAAGGCTATCTATATCAGTGTCTGATGTCAAAGTCAGACCAGCTGTTCCAGGCTGCATCAGTGCGACATAAATTGAATTTTTGAGTAATCCTTCGAAGAATGCATCTGTATGCAGGAATTCATTCTGTTGTCTAAAAATAGAACTATTGCTTTATACAACCTCACAATCCTTTTAATATTGAGTGACACAGCGAGGGCACATGCCATGAAACATCACAGCAGAGTACACAAACTGTGCAGCAGTTGCTTTATTAATCTGGGGTGAGAGAATGGCATTAGGGGGAAAAGGTCAGGAGAGGGAAACAGACAAGAATGCGAGAATGAAAAAGTTCACAACTGTCCAGCCTCTTTATAGACCCATTAAAAGAATTGGGGTTAGAAAGACAATAAGCTGGTGGTACATTCAAAGTACTATTGTTTAGTAAATCATGAAGTTTGCTGTGGACAAGAGGATATGAAAATCTGATTATGTCCATTGGTAGACTGACTTTAATTTTGGACTCTTGATAGTAGTAGCATTTGAAAATGTGTGGCTCTGGTTCATATTTACTTGCCTCAACTACGACCTATATGGGAAGTGCATTGTTATATACACAACACAATATGTAAAAATCTTCATAGTTTAAAAGAAACAAATGCCTTGTTCTGAGTCTACTTCTACAGTGTTGGTGTACAGAGAGAGAATAGATGTCGCACCACTGACCACTTGGACGCCTCCTCATGACTGTCTTTAGCATGTCAACAACATGTGGAAGTCTCTCAGAGCATGTGCCCCCAGCTGTCTGGCTGCCTCACTGTCATCACAATCACTAATATACACAATCTACCACAATTGCCGGCTGTCATGTTGTTTTTCTTAGGCAGATGGAGTAGGACTCCTTCAACAGATTTTCAGACCCTGTTGAGCCTTTTACCAGTTTCGAGCAGCTTGATTTCTTCTTTTACTAAACAGCCCAAAGCAAAATTCCAACAACTCCACAGACTCCCGTCACAGCACAAAGAGTTCTAAAACACAGGCCGACAGGAGGAACCAGAGTGCCAGTAATAGGCTAGGTTCAGACACTCCCACCTCTCATACCACATTAATTCATGGGTGAGGCCTGAACATTTGGAAAGTATTTGACTAATAATTGCTACATATGCTTATAGACATGGAGGCTCCACTATGACAGTGCAGAGTGGACAGACCCCCCAACGCTTCTGATGCTGCAGGCTGCTCAGCAGCCTCTTGTGGCCAGCCTAGAAAAAAAGATCCTAGAGGACACAGCGGGGTCAGGTTTAAGAAACTAACCATTGAAATCTATGAACAGTCAGTTCTGATTGAATAAACCCATTAAAGTCCATGTGTTCAATCATTAAATCACAAATTGAGGATTTAAGAAAAAATAATTAACTTGGTAATTTTGAACTTGAGTGTTGGATGTTGTATTTGACGAGGTGTAACTTTTGACTATACAAACCCATAAAAGCATAATTAGCGTCACCATAATCGACAGTTCTCAAAGATAGTAGATACTTTGATTTGTCAAAGTAGCATACGCACAGGTATTAGTAGTGACACTTATATTTGTCAAGTGTCCCATTGAGCTGTGACAATGAGCCAGCATGCACCATACCAGAACCCTGACATTTAAGCAGCAAAAGGGAAATTAGCTTTTTATTTTATTCTACACGCCTGTGCTTTTCCAAGGGGGAAATGTAGAAATATCTTTCATGCAAGAGGTCTGTTGACATTTCCTTCTGTTTTTGCAACATTGTGTTTCAAAATAACATATGTAGGTTTACCTCGTGGTTTCTAATTAACAATAAACTAAAAAAACTAACAAAACAAATGTTCAGAAACTGTTAAAGTGAAGTTAACATTCTTTTTGGTGACTCAGGTATTAACTGAGCTTTCTCATTATGGAATTTATTCCAGGCTTATAGACTGTGCAACACACCCTTAAGTAACAGCTACTTGCGGTGGCCCAAGGGAGAAGGCATAAACAGCAGACCACACCTAGTGTTGGATGTCATTACCATCAAGCTAAGATGAAAGCCATGTGGCAGGCCATCCTAAGACCCAGTAAATCTTGTTAAAACCTGTGAAACTATTTCATAATCGTTTGGATAAGAGGTTTGAGAGCGTAGCCAATCAGCGACATGCTATGGGAAAATCTGATAAGAACCACTTTAATGTTGCTCAATCTTCTCATGTACTGTTTCAATAGATAATTTACCTTTTTTGTGCTGACAGACCTCCGTAGTACTCTGCCATTGGGTCCTGTCACCCTGGTGTTACTGCTACTGCCAGAGGGCAGGGTACTGGCAGATGGAGGGCTGGAGGGAGTGCTGAGGGCAGCGGGCCTCTTCTCTGCCAGGTTCCTTTGGGATGCCACGTTGTTGTTATCCTTGAAGCTCAGGGACCTTTTGTCCTGGTCATCCCCGCTGCTCAGATCAATGTTTTGTCCGCTTTTGATGAGGTCAAGATAATCTTTGAGTTGTGACTGAGTTGCAGGATCACTCAACCAGTTGAGGAAGAGCTCGTCCACCTTCATTTTGAGGACCGGCTGGAGGACTTGTGGTGACGGCATCTTGCAGAGTTTAACTTATTGAGTTCGCTGATAACGGCCCCTGTGTAGAAAATAAGACGACAGAGCACACGATCTTAGGGCAGAGCAATAAAACAATATACACCAATAAGTATTGCAGGAGAACTTCCATCACTAGCGATATAACAAAGGTTGAATAAATATAAACAACTTGATTATGAATTGCGTAAGTAGAGTGAGGTATAACACATCATTGATTTACCTCAGATTTGTAAAAAGTTTGTCATTCTCTGGAAAATAAAGATGAGTTTAACTCCACAGGAGCAGTTTCTTAAACTTTAAACATGAAATAGTAATGAGACGTGTATCGTGATGATTATCAGTGTCCACTGATATGAACATTGTTATCGTGATGTAATCTTTGGCCACATCCTCCAGCCGTGTTCAGTCTCATCCTGTATTTCTGCACAGGCATGGAGCTGGTGATGAATGCAGTGATGATATGAACTAACACTCGCACCACTTCACCCACCGAAGCTATTGAATTTTAGCGCGAAGCATCAATACCTCTAGCCCACAGGCAAAAGTGAACCAACACAACACCCCTTCAACGTTAGCTATCTTATCACACCACTACCGCAAACACAGCAGCTTCAAGTCGGTGAATAAAGAGCTGAATCCCCCGTACAGCTGCTTTTAGAGAAGCCCGGGGTGGACAGACGTGGAGCAGCAGACAGCAACAACAACAACAGTGTGTTAGCTAGGATAGCATTACCAAGCTAACGTTAGCCGACTGACTCAGAGAAGCTACAGACCTCGGCGTGAATGGAGGAAGACGCCGGATGTGTTGATGCGACTCTACGTCGCTTCCCCCATGAGCGAAGCGGTGTCACACCGACTGTTCACCGGTGAAAGACGCGGGGAATCGGTGTCTCCTCTCCGGTGCCTCCTCGCCCGGTGCTCATGTCGCCCGCCGGCCAACTTTTCACGATCACGTTCCCCTGGTAACCGCAGGGGTACTAACGCGAGACTTCCCGCGGGGGTGAGAGTTCACCACACCGGGAGCAGCAGCGCCTCCCCTCCCGGGGAAGAGCCGCCTTCAGCGGACACCTGTCACCGTGAAGCTCCGCTGTCTTTACCCACTGAGGTGTATAAATGTACTTCTCCACTCCAGTATTACTTCTACTTCTGATGTAGTACACACCCCAGTAAAAGTAGTGAAGTAAGTATTCTGTAAACCAAAGTACTATCTTGCACAAATACCCCAATCATGTTTATTTACTATTACCTTCTTGTAGTGTTTTGTTGATTTAACATGTAAGAAATCCACGTTGGTTGGTGGAGTTGAATAAAACCTCAAAGTATTACTTAAATGTCTAATTACTAAATACTCTATATTTCACCTCTTCTTGTCTCAATAACTTCATCTTTCATTTTCTCATAAGACACCAGTGTAAAATCTAGATCTGCAACAATTGCTCCTATAATACTATTTACAGAAATAACCCCATGCGGTGTAGTTACTATTGCCTCGTTGTATTTGGTGTACTTGGATGGATAAAATGAAGACTATTACACTGGCCTGTTGTAAATTATAATGGTCATTAATTGAGGAATTAATCAGCAGCTCAATAATGAAAATAATAATTTAATTGGAGTCCGGATGATATAAATAATGTGATCGCTGAGGCTGATGCATACTTACCTTGTTTTACACAATTATATTTATACACAGCTTTCAGCATATATGATTACATGTTACATTACATCTACATTGTTTTCGTTAATTCATGATTGATTTTCCTCATGCAATGCACAACCCAGAGTCAAGCTGGTCATCTCTGCAGTTCTCATTTCCAGGAAACCAGTCCCGTGTGTTCAATTTAGCCTCTTATGAACTTGATCCTGACTGTCTTTGCATGAATAACAATGATACATCTGTGCCTGATTCCACTCTCCTTTCTCTCCACATAGCCGCACTCTTAAAAGCAGCTGGGCTGAGCACCTGGTGTGTATGGAGTTGGACATATTTATTGATTACTGTGGGGAGGAGTGGTCCGAGACGTCGAGGCTCCCTCGCTGCATCCCCAGCATAGAAAGCAAGCAACTCAAGGAAAGGTCAGTCTAAATAATTGGCACCATATTTGACACTCGGAGCAAAATCGAGGTGGATTGTTTTCATCAGGAAGGGACTTTCTAGCTCTGCATTTTATACCAGACCCAAGCAGGCTTCAACCACCAAAATATTTATTTCATGCATATATAGGAGAAGGGGAATCACATTTTAGATGCACCTGAGTGGTAAACATGTCACATGAAAATTGCTGAAACAGATTTCATGATCACAGGGTCCAATGTAAATGGTATACTAACAATTCCACTTGGAATTATTTTCACTTGCACAAACATTACTTTGAAAAAGAACTATACTATACATTTCTGTAAATATACAGGGTAATTATACTTATGCCAACTATACAACTTTTATAGTTCCAAAAAAATTTAACAGAATTTTCTTTCAGTTCTATAAGTTTTTATTATTATTATATGATTATTTTTAGTTTGTTTTCCATAGCATGATTACTAGGATGTGACATGAGATGGTATTTTAAATATAGTTCTGTAGCGAACAAAGAAAATTCTTCCTGAAGACATCGAACAGTTGTAGACTGATTTAAAAATATTTACCTGACCACTTTCTCTGTGTTTTCAGCATGAAGGACACTAGGGACACCTATCGCTCCAAATTGCTGTCTCGTTAATAACTGCACCTAAAAGTGCCTGTAGCCCTGTTGTAAAGAGTAAATGAATGGCGGTTGCACGGCGGTGAACATTATTGACTGAGTTCTCCTGATTGCTTCCCTTGATAACGCCGGCAAATCAAGTCTGAAACATTCAAAGTTGTCCGAGGCGCAGAATGTAATGAGAAACCATTTTGTTCTTTACAACAGAGAACGTTAAAAAGTGAAGGTCTTGAAACTTGAAACTTTGCAACTTTTCAAAGTGTAATTACAGTGTACAAATAGGATTTTTACCCAAAGCAATGTACATGTTGTTTTCTCACGCCTTGAAGGACATTTCAAAGGTTTGGCCGAGGCTGAAACCACAGGGGGACAGCTGGTTAGCGTAGGAAAGTGTTAGTGAGGAGTTCATGTGTGCAGCTCTCCCTTACTGCTGTCAGCTATGTTGTATGGGTGCTCTGTGAAGTGGGCGATAAGCAATCTGCTCTAATAAGGGGAGTGAATAAAGTTGAAAGTGTTGTGTTGTAGCTGTGCGCTATAGAGAGTTATTTGGATGGTGCCATGTTCTATGTGCATAGTAGACTAGGCAATAGGCCATGGTTGTTTTCAGGCTGAAGTTGGATTCATATTGTGGAAGTTTAGTTGACTTTGTAAACTTTGTTTCTTATTAAATTTGATTTCCACAAATTCCAAAATGTCTTTTTTTGATCAGATGAAGTGCAACATGAATTACTTATCTACCTAATTTACCTTGAACTTTTGGTTTATTTACAAAAGTGTTTAAATATAGATGGGTAGTTTACTTAGTATACTGGCAGGTACTTTTCCTTTTAACAAATTATTTATTTACAATCAAGCAAACTCTGATTTCTTTGCAAGCCTTAATATCCTCTGGTGAACCTGGGGATTCTGGTGTTGCTAAACTTAAAGCTACACTGAGCTATAATTTTGGTTCTCGTATAATAAGCACTTTTATAATCAAAACTTCTGTTTAAATTTGACTCAAAGTTTACACAATGATGATAATAGTGTTTGAGCTCACTGTGTCAGACAAGACAAACCAACATCCTGTCTTTTCAGAATATTCTAAAATTACTCACATAGTCTTTGCAGGTTTCCACAAACTCTGTAAAATCCTGGGAGTTTTAGCCAAAAGAAAATACTTAAAGAAAGAAGATTGAAAATAGTCAGTGGGGTTTGGAAGTAACATGAATTTAATTTTAATCTTTGCATAATGGATTTTCTATAAAGATCTTGAGGGGTGAGATTTTCTTTTTAAAGTTGGTTGATTTATTCTTCACGTTGAAAGACAGAGAGAAACAAATAAATCAAATAAGTATTTCTTGAGTGAAAATTAGTCTGAGGTACATTTATACCATTGCAATGTATATGTATGTTAACCCTTCAAGCAACTCACCCCAATAAAATACATAATAATAACATTTTACAAAAAAGTTATATTGACTCGCTAATTTATTACTATCAATAAAACATTAAAATGTGTAGGTATAACTGACTGTATTTACTTAATATATCGAGCCCTATTACTATATGAATATTATACATAATAATGCATAATAAAACTTAGTAGACAAAGAAAATAAGAATGTATTTGACAGTAAACTGCAAAGTTAATATTTTGTATTATCTACCAGGGCTTTCACATTCCACAATATCAAACAAAAAAAAACAATTTTACATCTTTCCATGTCTGTGAAATAATATTTTTAAGACTGTTTTTGCTTTGTTGTTCATCTCAGAGCAATAAACAACTTAACAGTGGAAAAGAAAAATGATGAACACGATATTATCATTTTTCTTTAATGCATCTGAGGTACCAGAGCCGGAGATGTGGCCCTGAGATGTCACTTTAACTTTTTTTTCCATCGTCTAACTCAGCATCAGCGCACACTTCTTCTACCGAAGTTAAGAGATGGAAGAGATTTGTCGATATTTCTCCTCTTGTGTGATTTCCAATAATAGCCAGACATTGTTGAAGTAGCTGCGAACATAAAGCAGCAATTTTACAAGAATGTTGCTGGTCTTGCGATATTTTTGACCAGAAATTGCTTTGATCTTGGTCTTAAACATCCTCCGTTTGATATGGCTTTCAAATGAACTGTGGTATGAACCTCACTTCCCGCCTCCCGAAATGGCATCGGGTAGTGACGAGCCTTCTCATAGCTCTTTCATGGCTACGTTGTAAACACGCTGCACTGTTTTCATTCCTTGAGAAAATCACAGACAGAGAATCAAACTGTCTTCAGTCAACATTTAGATTCTTAATACGCTGTGCGAAATGGTGCCGCAGAGGAGGAGACTTTTTTCATTAGACACTTCACTGAGGCTCTGAAGTTTGCTCCTTCCATCTGAGATGACTTTAAAGGAGAAACAATGCCTCTGCCTATTGGGGTCTTTGGAGATTTTCTCTCTCATCACATATTAATGAAAGAGGTGGCATATATGGAGTTGGAGAGCTTAGGCAGGAAAACCTGGTGGTGAGAGCACCTTCATGTTCACAGATATATGACAGACTCATATATTGTGTATAAGTGACACAGTATATGATGTATCTGAAGAAATCTTAACTTTATCAATGATGCGCTTTACAAAATCTGCACATTTTCCTCACTTTAGTCAGTACACAGGAGGGAGGAATGTGTGAGAGCTGCCTGCAGAGGGCACACTTCACCTGGGATGCTTCAGGGCTACACCTTTCCCACTTCCTCTCCCTGCACACACAGGCACATAAGCAATATTCACTTGAGGATAATCTTCTTATATCACACACATACACAGATATTCAGATGCATCCACCGTGTATCAATTCCCCACGTTTGCCTCCATTTCTCCTTTAATGAGACAGACCCATCAAGAGTGAGCACACGCTTTTTGATATCCTCATAGGATCATGGTGCACAGAAACATTAATGCTCATAATTCATAGCGAATCAAGAGAGATTTTTGTCGGAACAGAGGATGACACCAATTACCAGTTGTTTATTGTTTGCTATTGTTGTTTTTACTGCAGTCTAATCATATTTGGAGGTCGGCCACAACGCTACATCAGCTCCAAGTGGAAAAGCTCTTTTGAAGCCTTTCATTTCGTTGTGCCATATTAGCTGCACTGAGCAGCTCTCAGACAACACGATGCCTGCGCTTTCAAGATAAAAAGAAACAAGCATTACATCACTTTCTAAATAACTTTGTAAGTTAAGGAAATTGCACGTAAATTAGACACCTAAAAAAACTACCATCCCATTAAGAAAAGTGCGTTTCATGTATTAATTTGCCTCAAGATAATCATCGTTTACATAATGACTTGAACATGGGAACAAGGTTTTGTGTTGG